CGCCAGTCGCTGAGGTATACATTATTTAGTGTCGCCGCCGTGACTCGCCACTGTTCCTGTGTCGTGCAAAACGCGACGACGACAAGCGCTCTTGTCCCTCTGTGTCGTAGCCTGTGGCGGTGGAAACGACCCCCTCGTTGGTCGGAGCCGTTGGTCAGATGGTTGTTTGTCGAGAGAACGGTCTAATCGAATCTACCGCACGATTGGCTTGGACATCAACTGGCCTCTGTGGTATCATAACGTCGTAAGCCAAGCACCTAAGGTTCTGCTCTGTTTCATTTCCGGTCACGTGACTCGGTCGGGTCAGTTTTGCACACGGCCATTTCGTTGGCCAAGGTAATAAACTCTGAAATTCGATCCGAAACGAGCCAGTCCTTAGACACCCATTTGTGCCTTTCAGGCAGATCAGTTCACAAGAGGGTTTGCCTGAACATCGGTCCGGGGTATGGTTTGCATTCGCTTCATCGTTCCCACAGAAAGCGTTCCCACGGAAAATTTTGTCACTCATCTACTTCCGACGAGAAAGAAACGAGGAGGATTTACCGGACAGAACGAGTGAAAATTCGCATGATGCTTGCTGAACGAAATAAGGAAATGTACCCATTTGGGTAGGCAACAAGTTGTACGTGCATCGTAACTTTGCATCGCTCGACCATCCTTCTACTCCAAAGCTGATCCCACGCATACCCAGTCTGATCCATGCTTTAACCACAGTTGCTCTTTATGTGCTAGATAAAACTACTGCAATTTGGTTAAAAATTACAGAACCTGCTTATCACTATGGTATTTATCAAATTACGAAACTACAGTATAGTGTTTCATTTATCTTGTGTCTCTATGATTGATACACGTTAGTGGACCAAGTTATGCTAAATTGGGAACTATCAGAAGATAACTGCTATCTGTAGCATCTCAAACCTTTGTTCAGCAGCGATGCTCAATGAACGAAAAGAGAGCTTTTCGTTTCTTGCCAGAGCATTGGAAGGTTCGTTCTTCAGGGGTTCCGTTGACCACACTTTGGGGTTCTTTCATAGTGGTATGAGGTAAAACTGCTTCTGCTCCTACATTAATCTGCTACTATGAACAAGAGATATTTCGTAGATGCCCTGAGGTCCCTGAGGTCATATCAAAATTGAGTCTTACTGAGGCTACCAATGAAAAAAACGCTTCGCCGTATCGTCGTCAATGAGTCGTTCTTCGGCTTGTGAAGTTCTAAAAATCTTTGCGATTGTCTTATACGACAACTCAAGTGCTAGGTCTGTTCTCCTCCTCCGCGTGATGCCACCTTTATTTAGGTCACTGCTCTGCCTCTAGGCAATATGCTGCAGGCTGAACATTTGAGGACACGGTGCATGCCACACGCTACGTCTTATCGAGTCAACGGAATCTAAACGTACTTGCAGCAAATCTGTTAAAGATTTGCCGTTCATGAGCCGAGCTTAAGCGTTGCCGCTTCGCGTTCTGCTGCTGATTATTGACAATCGCTTATGCATCGTTTTTATTCCTACTTAAATAAGCATTCGTCTTCCTCCGTTTCGTTGAGTCAATATCTTCAGCCTGCTGGTCGATCAAAATGCAGACTCTGATACTTCCCTTTACATGACTTAATCTTGCCAAGTTCAATGAAAGTTTACGACTTAGAGCTCTCTGCAGCAGTGGACCGAAGTTCTGAAAAATTAAAGTTTACTTTTGTGCAAAATGATACATACATACATACATACATACATACATACATACATACATACATACATACATACATACATACAT